GAAGTGAAACTTCATTTTGCACAGGGAGAATTTTTCAAACTCCAGGCAGGTGTTTTGCCTAATTGTGTTGGGATTTGAATACCCAACGACCCCACTTTTACTAGGCAGAAAATTGCTGGACCATTTAGAAAAGCTGTTTCCATTTTCTTTTTTGTTTGTTTGTTTTTTTATTTCCTTCTTTGTTTTTATTTTGTGTGATGCAAAACAACAAAAAAAACAAAAAAGAAACATTTTATTTAATACAGAACAACATTTAGGAACGTTTTCTGAAGTTTAGATTTCTTTTTTTTTTTATTTTTTTTTATTTTTTTCTATTATTTTTTTATTTTTTTTTTATGACAGCTCTTTTGTGTAGATTTTTTTCTTTTGTTTTTTTGCGATTTTTTTTTCTGTGTTTTCTTTTTTCTTTTCTTAGTTGTTTCACATTTAGCAGTTTTTTTTTTTTGTTGGGGTTTTTTTTTTTTTTTTTTTTTTTTTTTTTATTTTATACATTTTGTGTTTTCTTTTATTTTTCATTTTTATTTGGATTTTTTTCATTTTTTTTTATTTTTTTGTTTTTTTTTTTTAATTTTTTCTTTTTCTTTTTTTTTTTTTTTTTTTTTTTGTTTTTCTTGTCCTAATTGGGAGAAATAATTCCTTTCACTTCCTTGTTTTAAACCAAACAGTTTATTAATTTTTTTTATTTCCTCCAAAGTTTTTTGTTTATTATTTGTTATTTTTTCTTTTTTTTTTTTTTTGTATTGTTTTTTGTTGACAACAGTTTTTTTGGGGGCAGTGCTTTTTTTTTGTACATTCACATCAGTCCCTAACCCCTATTGTTTGTTGTTCTTAAGGTCCCTAATTTTCACATTCGTACATTTTATATTAGGGACAATTTAGATTTTATTTTTTCATTTACCAGCATTTTTTTTGGAGTGTGGGAGGGATTTGGATTTTATTTTTTTTTTTTTTTTTTTAGTGGAGATTATTTTTTTTCTTTTTTTTTTTTTTTTTGCTTTTTTTTTTATTTTGTTTTTTTTTTTTTTTATTTTAATTCGTATTTATTTTTTTTTTAACCACTTTTTTCTGTGCTGCCCAATATTCATATTTCTTTTTTTTTCTTTATTTTTGTTTTTTTTTTTTTGTTTTTTTTTTTTATTTTCGCTTTTTTTTTTTTTATAAACAGCGCCATTTTAAAATTGGGAAAGCATCTTGATCACACCGATTCTTGGTGTGATTTTTTGCTTTTAAGGGCAGAGGAGAGCTCTAAAGTCTAATAGACCCCATATTTTCTCAGGGAAAGAGTACTTTTCACTTGCCTATTGCTATTTTTTATTTACATTTCCTGTGATAATTTTAAAATGTGATTACAAAAAAAAAAATAAAATAAAAGGTTCAGTTTTTAAAATGATTAAAAATGATTAAAAAAAAAAAAAAAAAAAGCAAAATAAATAATTGGCAAAAAAAAAAAAAATTACTTTTTTTTTTTTTTTTCCCCGTGCTTGCACACAAAGGCAAACACAAGCAGTGGTCCCGTGGCAGTATGTTAAAAGAGATTGGTTGCATGTAAGGTATCACCGTGAACGTCAGATCCAGGGCAGTAACTCTAGCACTAGTTGTTACTGTGTACATATAAAAGTGGTCACCTGTAAAGGCTTTTAAATATGTCGCTGTTGTACGGGGGTGTGCGCAATTTTAAAAACCTGTCATTTTTTGGTATTTTTTTACTTGGTATAATTTATTTTATTTTTATCAAAACAATATGGCAATACAGTCAGGTCCATAAATATTGGGACATCGACACAATTCTAACATTTTTGGCTCTATACACACCACCACAATGGATTTGAAATGAAACAAACAAGATGTGCTTTAACCATAGACTGTCCGCTTTAATTTGAGGGTATTTACATCCAAATCAGGTGAACGGTGTAGGAATTACAACAGTTTGCATATGTGCTTCCCACTTGTTAAGGGACCAAAAGTAATGGGACAATTGGCTTCTCAGCTGTTCCATGGCCAGGTGTGTGTATTATTCCCTCATTATCCAATTACAATGAGCAGATAAAAAAAGGTCCAGAGTTCATTTCAAGTGTGCTATTTGCATTTGGAATCTGTTGCTGTCAACTCTCAAGATGAGATCCAAAGAGCTGTCACTATCAGTGAAGCCATCATTAGGCTGAAAAAAACAAACCCATCAGAGAGATAGCAAAAACATTAGGCGTGGCAAAAACAACTGTTTGGAACATTCTTAAAAAGAAGGAACGCACCGGTGAGCTCAGCAACACCAAAGACCCGGAAGACCACGGAAAACAACTGTGGTGGATGAGCGAAGAATTCTTTCCCTGGTGAAGAAAACACCCTTCACAACAGTTGGCCAGATCAAGAACACTCTCCAGGAGGTAGGTGTATGTGTGTCAAAGTCACCAATCAAGAGAAGACTTCACCAGAGTGAATACAGAGGGTTCACCACAAGATGGAAAACCATTGGTGAGCCTCAAAAACAGGAAGGCCAGATTAGAGTTTGCCAAATGACATCTAAAAAAGCCTTCACAGTTCTGGAACAACATCCTATGGACAGATGAGACCGACATCAACTTGTACCAGAGTGATGGGAAGAGAGAAGAGTATGGAGAAGGAAAGGAACTGCTCATGATCCTAAGCATACCACCTCATCAGTGAAGCATGGTGGTGGTTGTGTCATGGCGTGGGCATGTATGGCTGCCAATGGAACTGCTTCTCTTGTATTTATTGATGATGTGACTGCTGACAGAAAAGCAGCCGGATGAATTCTGAAGTGTTTCGGGAATATTATCTGCTCATATTCAGCCAAATGCTTCACAACTCATTGGACGCTTCACAGTGCAGATGGACAATGACCCAAAGCAGACTGCAAAAGCAACCAAAGAGTTTTTTAAGGGAAAGAAGTGGAATGTTATGCAATGGCCAAGTCAATCACCTGACCTGAATCCGATTGAGCATTTCACTTGCTGAAGACAAAACTGAAGGGAAAATGTCCCAAGAACAAGCAGGAACTGAAGACAGTTGCAGTAGAGGCCTGGCAGAGCATCACCAGGGATGAAACCCAGCGTCTGGTGATGTCTATGCGTTCCACACTTCAGGCTGTAATTGACTGCAAAGGATTTGCAACCAAGTATTAAAAAGTGAAAGTTTGATTTATGATTATTATGCTGTCCCATTACTTTTGGTCCCTTAACAAGTGGGAGGCACATATGCAAAACTGTTGTAATTCCTACACCGTTCACCTGATTTGGATGTTAAAGCTGACAGTCTGCAGTTAAAGCACATCTTGTTCGTTTCATTTCAAATCCATTGTGGTGGTGTATGGAGCCAAAATGTTAGAATTGTGTCTATGTCCCAATATTTATGGACCTGACTGTATATTGTGTTTTTGTGCATTACAATTCTAAAAAGTGTATCTTTTCCAAACAAATTGTGTTGTAAAAAAATCGCTGCGCAAATATTGTGTGACCTAAAAGATTTCAACACCAACTACTTTATTCTCTAGGGCCTCTATTTTTAAAAAAAAATGATAATGTTTGGGGGTTCAAAAAAAGTTTTTTATCAAAACAAAAAGTGTCAAAAAAACCTTGGTCTTCAAGTGGTGAGAATAGTGGGGGATGTCTGGCGTAAACTTCTAATGTTGGCCCTGAAATGTCAGGATAGTAGAAGCATCCCAACCCTCCCCTCATGCACTCTGCACATGTTCAGTTGCTCTCTATTCTTGGCACTGTGCCTAAAATCAGAGCCTCTAGAGGCCAATCAGCTGACAGCTTTAAGATTTACTGTTGCTGAAGGGGGAAGAAAGCAACAGGAATGACAGACCGTGCAGGGGGAACACAGATTATGGAAGGAGAAAGAAAAGCAGGGGAGGTGACAGGATAAACTCTGCTGCCAGGAAGACACAAGTGTGTGTTAAACTTTCAGCCCGGGTTCACACTGATGCTGTGCAGAATTTGCAGCGGATTTTGTGCGAATTCTGCGCTGCATCACAATTGCCCCCCGTTCATGCGAACCGCTGCAGATGTGTATATTAACACCCCAAAATTGGTTCGCAAAACGCGGTGCGATGTACAGAATCAGAACGCATAGGTGTGAATACCAATGTGATCCAATTCTAGTGCGGACCAAAAAAAGGGTCCTGCACATTTTTGGTGCAGTGCGGTTTGAGCCATACAAAATGTATGGCTGAAATCGCACCGCACAGAATTCACAAGTGATTTGAACAGGAATGCGGTGCGGTTCCTGTGCGAATCTCATGCGATATGCCGCACTGCATATGTGTGAACCCGGGCTCAAGGATAGTGTCTTATCTTCCTGATATTCTCTCATTTCTTCCTTGCCAGCAGCAGCCTGTGAACTGCAGCACTTTAAAGCTTCTGTCAACCCTCCTCCTCTCTAGCTGAACCAAGACATACAAGGCCTGAAATGTATACAATTTAATTACAGAAAGTGACATATAGTTTGTGAAACCAAGGAGAGAGGAGAGTTCTCAGTAAGGAAGTGACTGCTCTGGGCTTCAGCAAAAATGGCAGCTCCAGCAAGAGGAAATAGGAGCAAAGCTGGAGGCAGTTTACATCACACACTAATTTTGGTAGCAGAATTATTAATGTGGAATGTATGTTCTTTTATTAAAGATCATGAATTGTTATCAGACTGTTATGGGGTAAAATCAGGTCCTGGCAGGGCTGTGCTGTTTGCAGAGCAGTGTAAATGTCAGAACTGGATTGGGTGGAAATACAAATCCTTTGCCAGGTCTACTGCTCCATTGTGTGTATGGCACCTTTGTGTTTAGCAGTTTGCTTGGAGTTCAACATTAACTGTTTCAGCGAAGATGCCTTCCTCCATACTAGTTTTACATTTTAAACGACAGAATTCTATATGATTTCATCTCATTTTTGCTAAAAATTGCTTCAAAAACATCCGGTGAGCCCCGTTTTCCCAGGTCTGCCTCACCTTTAGAAGAAAGCTGCTAAAACTGTTATTTTATTTTCTTCCAGGAGGTGGCGCAGTTTCTGGTGGAGTTCAATGCAACAGATATATTATTAGGAGTTATTGCAAAATCGAAATGTAATCGGCTGACGGTAAGTAGGAATTTAAGACTAATGCAGGCCATAGATGGGTCGAAAATCGGCCGATTTTCGGATTGTTAGTGGGCTATTTGTTCGGCCGTTTTTTCGGTTTTTTATTTTGGCCGGTTTTTTTTATCGGTAAAGTTGGAAAAAAAAAATCGGCCGATTTTGCCGATCGGCCGATTTTCGCGGCGATAATGGGCAAATCGGCCAATTTTTTTCTACCGATAAAAAATCTGCGCATGAGCAGTGACCTGCAAGAGCAAGACAAAAAAGAAGAGGAAGAAGAAGAGGATGAAGATGATGAAGAAGAGGATGATGATGATGCAGAAGAAAAGAAGAAGAGGATGATGAAGAAGAAGAAGAGGATGATGAATGAAAAAGAGAGGAGGATGATGATGAATGAAGAGGAAGGAGGATGATGAAGAAGAAAGATGGAGGAGGATGATGATGATGAAGAAGGATGATGAAGAAGAAGAGGATGATGATGAAGAGGGTGTATGAAGAAGAAGAGGATGATGATGAAGAAGAGGTAGTAGAAGAAGAAGAGGATGATGATGATGAGATGAAGATGATGATGATGAGGATGATGATGAAGAAGAGGATGATGATGAAGAAGGAATGTTTGATGATGAAGAAGAGGATGATGATGAAGAAGAAGAGAGGATGATGAAGAAGAGGATGATGAAGGAAGAGGATGATGAAGAGGATGATGATGATGATGAAGAAGAGGATGATGATGATGAAGAAGAGGAGGAGGATGATGAAGTAGTAGAAGGAGAAGAAGAAGAGGATGACGATGATGAAGTAGAAGAAGAAGAAAGGATGGCGATGATGAAGTAGAGAAGAGGATGACGATGAAGAAGTAGAAGAAGAGGATGCGATGAAGAGTAGAAGAAGAAGAAGAGGATGACGATGAAGAAGTAGAAGAAAGAAGAAGAGGATGAGTTGAAGAAGAGGATGATGATGAAGAAAAAGAAGAAGAAGAGGAGGATGAGTGATGATGATGAAGAGAAGGAAGATGATGATGAAGAAGAAGATGATGAAGAAGATTAATGATGATGATGAAGAAAAAGAAGAGGATGATGATGAAGAAGAGGAGGATGATGATGAAGAAGGAGAAGAAGGATGAAAAAATAAGAGGAATTCCAGTCTGGCAAAAAGTGTCCCTGCAGAGAGCTCCGCTATTTCTTTGACAGTTCTTTGACATTTACAGAGGTTGCAACATTGTATCTATTTGTTTCCAAATAAAAACATCTGTATCCTAAAATGGATACAAATAGATACATTGTTGCAACCACTGTAAATGTCAAAGAACTGTCAAAGAAATAGCAGAGAGCTCTCTGCAGGGACACTTTTTTGCCGGCTGTAGACATGGATGAAAATCGGCCGATTTTTTTTTTTTTTTACCATTGGTGTAACGTCGGCCGCTTGAACGACCGATTTTTCGTTTTTTTTAAAAAGAAAAATTGGCCGTTTTTTTCCCCGTCTATGGCCTGCATAAGTCTAAGGTCCCCATGCACACTAGGTATCCTAAAAAACGTTTTGTCGCATTTTTTATCATGCATTTAATGCACATTTTTGAACGTTAGCGTTTACAAGTAGTAGTATTTTCCAAACATGCCCCTTAGCTCATTTTTCACTCCTGAATGCCGACAAATATAGTGTGTGTGTATATATATAATATTAGATAGAGATTGACAGAGAGAGAAACATATATGTGTGTGTGTGTAAATATATATATATATTATGTACATTTGTGTTCAAAATAATAGCAGTGTGTTGAAAAAAGTGAATAAAGCTCAAAATTTTTCTAATAGCTTTTATTTCCATCCACACAAATGCATTGGGAACACGACACATTCTATTCCAAATCAAAATGAAGAAGAAAAAATACATCAAATTTGTGTTCCTCTAAAGGTGAATATTAGACGGTTCAAAAAAAATCGCAGTGTTTTGTATTATTCTTTACAAACTCAAAACATTCACTATATAAACTGAGAAATGTTTGAAGATTTTGCTTTCCTTTGAATGACTTCATGAATATTTGGTTGTAGTCGCACTGTTTCTGAGAACTGCTGTACATCTGTGTTGCATGGAGTCCCCCAACTTCTGGCCCCTGTGATCAGGTATTCCAGCCCAGGATGATTGGACCACATTCCACAGTTCTTCTCTATTTCTTGGTTTTGCCTCAGAAACGGCATTTTTGATGCACCCCACAAGTTTTCTATTGGATTGAAGATTCGGGGATTGGGCTGGCCACTCCATAACGTCCATCTTGTTGGTCTGGAACCAAGATGTTGCACGTTTATTGGTGTGTTTGGGGTCATTGTCTTGTTGGAACACCCATTTCAAGGGCATTTCCTCTTCAGCATAAAGGCAGCATGACCTCTTCAAGTATTCTGATGTATTCAAACTGATCCATGATCCCTGGTATGCGATAAATAGGCCCAACACCGTAGTATGAGAAACACATCCCCATATCATGATGCTTGCACCACCATGCTTCACAGTCTTTACAGTGTACTGTGGCTTGAATTCAGTGTTTGGGGGTCGTCTGACAAAAACTGTCTCCGCCCACTAGACCAAAAAGAACAATCTTACTTTCATCAGTCCACAAAATGTTGCGCCATTTCTCTTTAGGCCAGTCAATGTGCTCTTTGGCAGATTGTAACCTCTTCAGCACACGTCTTTTTTCCAACAGTGGGACTTTGCGGGGACTTCTTGCAGATAGCTTGGCTTCACATAGGCGTCTTCTAATTGTAACAGTCCTCACAGGGAACGTCACACCTTCTTTCATCTTCCTGGAGCTGATTGTTGGCTGAGTCCGCGCCATTTTGGCTATTCTTCTATCCATTCGAATGGTAGTTTTTTCGCTTTCTTCCACGTCTTTCAGGTTTTGGTTGCCATTTTTAAAGCATTTGTCATCATTTTAGCTGAGCAGCCGATCATTTTCTGCACTTCTTTATATGTTTTCCCCTCTCCAATCAACTTTTTAATCAAGGTACTCTGTTCTTCTGAACAATGTCTGGAACGACCCATTTTTCCTCAGAATTTCAGAGAGAAAATGCACTGTAACCAGCATGTACAACATTTGCTGACTTCCTTCCTTAAATAAGGGCAATAATTGCCACCGGTTTTTCAAAGAATGAATGACCTCACTAATAGAACTCCACACTGCTATTATTTTGAACATGCCCCTTTCAATGAGTGATTCAATGACACAGAATCAGCAGCATGCATGTCATGACTGTTGGGTCTGTTGGATTTCTATGACTCTACGACACCTGCTAGGAAATTATTTGCCATGTAGAAATATTTCTACCAAAAACAGTGATTGATCCGGTTAGTGATGTCTGACTGCTATTATTTTGAACACAACTGTATATATAAAAAAAAAACCCTCCATCCAAGAATAAATTAATAAAATGTAACAGTTTAATAAAATTATTTTAAATAATATTAACAAAAACCTCTGTCTATATATGAGATTTTGTTAATATTATTTAAAATAATATTATTAAACGGTTGCATTTTATTTACTTTTGGAGGTTCTTTTTTTCATTTTTTTTTTTTTTTTTTGGTTCTCTGTCAATCTCTATCTAATTTCTCTCTCTCTCGCTCTCATATATATATATATATATATATATATATATATATATATATATACACACACTATATAAGCTTTGGAGGGTTTTTTTTTTCTGCCATTAAACTCCAGAAAACATCTATAGTTTGCTTAGACACATAAAACTAACATAAAGGGGAGTTAAGAGAGAAATTAAAAAAAAAAAAAAAAATCTCAGCCGCCTGTTGAAGCAGGTTTTTTGATCTGCAGTGTGCATGAGCTCTAATGAGTTTGCTGTGTGCAAATGATGCATTTAATATGGATTGGCCCTTTTAATTTATCCATTCAGCTAGACTGAGCCTCAATCTTGTATGATGTCTCCTCTGTGCAGGAAATCTGTGTGGGGATTCTGGGTAACATGGCGTGCTTCCCGGAGACCTGCCTGAACCTCAGCAGCAACAATGACTTGGGGTGAGTTTTAGTCCTGTATGAAGACATAGAAATAAACCTGATAGCAGTGGAAGTACCTGAGCCTGACCTGGTAACAGCCTCTTGCAGTCCTCACACAGCAGAGCTCATACTGAGAGAGGGAGAAGCAACACAGGAAGCCATCGAGCATGCTGACAGGAGGAGAGAAAACAGAGGGATTGGCTTGTCAGTCTGTTGATTCTTCTTTCTCTGTCCAGTTACAGAGAGTGGAAGAGAGGAACAAGCAAGCGTTACTTACCTACATTTCCCCCAATTATTACTTCCAAGTAAGCAAGTGGTGAGGAGGTGACACAATGCCTCCTCACCACCTGTCAAGTGCACTCTGATGAGCGATCCGAGTGCAGATTGCATTTCAGAGAGTACCTCACATGTGAACAAGCCCTTAGTATTGCCCAGAGGCGTATTAATGAATCATGGGGCCTCGTAGCAAAACTTTGATGCCCCCTCAGGCTAATTCTCTCTATAGCAGCAGCTGCTTCTTACTACATACTGTGACTAGCACCATTCTGAGGTCTGAATTCAGCTCTTCTATACTAAAAACCTCACAATTTAGTTTTCCTTATAATAAGGAATAGAGTTTGGAGAGATTAGAACTCCTGTCAGGTGTTCAGTCTCTGTGTCCCTGGCCGGGAGATTCACCCTCCATATTTGACCGGTTTATAGTTGTTAGAAAAAGTGAAAGAAAATCCTGAATTTTGGGTTGTCCCCAGAACAGGAAATCTTCCAGTGGGGACACTAAGCTGGTGACTCCTCACTTTGGAGGGATTTTCTCACACTTCCTGTTTGGCTATGGGACAGGAAGTGAGATGAATTCTCCCCAATGGGACACAGATGATGCTAAAAAAAATCTGATGGATTATACCCCTCCCTTACTTTATGCAAAGTGAAAAAAATCCAGTTTTGCCTTTCATTCCACTTGAACAGCCTCTCTAATAGGACCTCCCTTGTACTCCAGGCCCCAACACAGCTGCATGGGCTGCTACGGCTAATGTGATACCGCTGGTGGTGGCTTTCAAAGCACAGAATCATAATAATCTTCGTTTTCTATCACACACAAGCTACTGGAAGGCTCTCCAGTTTTCAGTGCCTTCTTTTTGGAATATAAACTGTAAACTCCGCTTTCAACACAAGAGGGCGATCTAAACTTCAGAAAACGTTCCTGTTATGTTGTCTGTATTATTGTTGTGATGTGTTTTCTTTTGTGTTTTTGATGTTGTTTGCATCACACATAATATTGCATGAAGGAAATACATAAACAGGTCAAACATTGGACAGCACAGTGGCTAAATGGCCAGCACTTTCGCCTGGCAGTACTCGGGTCGTTGGTTCAAATCCCAACCATGGCACCACCTGCCTGGAGTTTGCATGTTCTCCCTGTGCCTGTGTGGGTTTCCTCCGGGAAATCCGGTTTTCTTCCACACTCCAAAGACATGCTGGTAGGTTAATTGGCTCCTGTCTAAATTGTCCCTAGTATGTGTATGTATGAATGTGAGTTAGGGACCTTAGATTGTACACCCCTTGAGGGTTAGAGACTGATGTGAATGTACAATATATATGTAAAGCGCGGAGTACATTGATGGTGCTATATAAGTACCTGAAATAAATAAACAGCAACTTTAAGGCTGGGTTCACACTGATGCTGTGCGAAATTTGCAGCGTTTTCAGTGCGAATTCCAAACCGCATCAGAATCGCACCCCTTTCATACGAACCGCTGCGGGTGTATATGTTAACAACACCCCGATCATCGGTCTGCAAAACGCTGTGCGATGTGCAGAATCGGATCATCTAGGTGTGAATACCCGTGCGATCCGATTCTAGTGCGGACTAAAAAAGGGTCCTGCATGTTTTTGGTGCGGTGCGATTTGAGCCATACAAAATGTACAGCTCCGATCGCACCGCACACAAATCGCATGTGACTTGTACAGGAATGCAGTGCGGTTCCTGTGTGAATCACATGCGATAAACCGCACTGCTGTAGTGTGAACCTAGGCTCAAGTGGAACTGCACTGCATCTGAGCACTGCAAACCAAAAATGCGATTTAATTCATTGTTAATATTCAAAGCAAACTCACCCCCACCCATCCATCCATGTCTCCATGCTTTATTTTGCTGAGAAATCAATTTAAAAAGCACCCCCCCCCCCGGCATTGCTGGCCGTGGCCCCCTTGAGTAAGGGCAGATGATTCATGTAGCATTTACATCCTGGAATCCATCTTCCCTTAAATCTGGCATAGGCTGAACTGAGAACCATCCTTCCCCGCCTAAAGGACTGCTGGGATGTATGACATCATTTGCCTAGGCAGGAAACCAGGAAGTAACTGAAGAAATGTGAAAAAAAAAAAAAAACAGTTTAAAACAAGTAAATATGATATACTTTCCTATCTGTTTGCTATTGCTAGCAGCCAAAGGATTGAAAATAGTCAATGCTGATTTAATGCTGATCCACTTTAAGGCAGACCATTCATTTAGAGGGAACTGCCAAAACAAAAGACTAACAACCGGACCTGAACCCCTTTTTTTTTTTTTTTTTTTTTTTTTTTTTTTTAAATAAAACTGCACACCGCATCACACATACTGTACATGCACTGTGAGGTGCACAGGTCCATCCATACCTATTGCACATGTGCGATGGAGTGTCACATCAGCACTACAGCACAGACGTATTATTTCAGGTACATATATAGCGCCATCAATGTACGCAGCGCTTTACATATATATTGAACATTCACATCAGTCCCTAACCCTCAAGGGGCGTACAATCTAAGGTCCCTAACTCACATTCATACATACACATACTAGGGACAATTTAGACAGAATCCAATTCACCTACCAGCATGTCTTTGGAGTGTGGGAGGAAACCGGAGCACCCAGAGGAAATCCACGCAGGCACAGGGAGAACATGCAAACTCCAGGCAGGTGGTGCCATGGTCGGGAATCGAACCCATGACCCATTTACTGCGAGGCAGATGTGCTAACCACTAAGCCACTGTGCCGACTTCTCGTGCTGCTTCTACTTCTCCCAGTCTAAGTTCTGTTGTATAGGGGCTGCAAGCAGGTGATACTTGGTCAAATTCAGGTACTTGCACTGCTTGATTTTAAATAAATACATGTAATGATATATGAACGATTACAGCACTTACAACACTTCAGTAATTTGCGTCTTTTATATCTACCTCACTCTCTCAATCAACATGGATTATTTTGAATCCTTCTGCTGCTAGTATTAGTAAATAGATAGGAAAGCAGATTATATTTGCTTGTTTTAAACTTTTGTTTTTGCATTTCTTCAGTTACTTCCTGGTTTCCATGCCTAGGCAAATGATGTCATAAATCCCAGGAGTCTTCAGGAGGGGAGAGAGAGTTCTCAGCTCAGCCTATGCCTGAGCTAAGGGCAGATGGGTTCTAGGAAGTAAATGCTACGGGAATCATCTGCCCTTACTCAAGATGGCCGCTGCCAGAAATACCAGGGGGTGTTTTTGCAAAGTGATTTCGTAGCAAAAAAAAAAAACTTGGAGACATGGATGGGGGTATTTGCTTTGAATATTAACAATGAAATATAAAGCATTTTTGGTTTGTGGTGTTCAGACGCAGTGCAGTTCCACTGTTTGTTTGTTTTTAAATCAGCACAAGGGACATTTTATTTATTTATTTATTTATTTCAGGTACTTATATAGCGCCGTCAATTTACACAGCACTTTACTTATATATTGTACATTCACATCAGTCCCTAACCCTCAAGGGGTGTACAATCTAAGGTCCCTAACTCACATTCATACATACACATACTAGGGACAATTTAGACAGAAACCAATTCACCTACCAGCATGTCTTTGGAGTGTGGGAGGAAACCGGAGTACCCGTAGGAAACCCACGCAGGCACAGGGAGAACATGCAAACTCCAGGCAGGTGGTGCCGTGGTTGGCATTCAAACCAATGACCTTAGTACTGCCGGTTGGAAGTACTAACCATTTAGTCACTGTGTGGGACATTACTTACAGTCAATTTTGTGTGCCCCTTGTGCTGATGGCTGGTGCTTTATTTGAAATCTTCCATCCTCAGATTAACCCCCTGACCCCACACTGGAAATTGTACAGTAGTGGGGGGGTATTAGAGCCAAGGGACTTGTCATATGCAATCATCAAGAGTGCAGACTATGCCCCCACCCTTTCCTCCCCCCTTCTCTATTCATAGAAGCCGTACTATAGCTTCCATTATTATTTATATTTTTATACAGGATTTATATCGTGTCAACAGCTTGCGCAGCGCTTTACAAAATGAAGGTGGACATTACAGTTTACAGTTCAGTTTGGTACAAGAGGAAACAGAGGGCCCGGCTCGTTAGAGTGTACAGACCCTACAATCTATTAATGAGAAAAGCTCTATGAATGGAGGAGGCGGACTTTTCTTTCATCTGTCCTCCTCCATTCATAGATCAGTTTTTATCCATAGATCGCTTTTCATTCATACAAGCTATAGTACGTCTTCTCTGAATGGAGGAGGAGGTCAGAAAGGGTGGGCATAGTCTGCACTCTTGATTAGTGCATATGATCAGTCCCTTGGCTCTATTAAACCCCCACGCTGCCGTAATGTGTTTTTTTTTTTTTTTTTAATTAAATTTTTTTTATTAAATTTAGGATTTAGCGTCAACTTTACCGACCCGTATAATGACAATATAACCATTTTATCATGATACAGCACAGAAGTCACAATGATTTTGCCAATTCCACAATGCCCAATTGTAAGTATTTGTGCTTTTTTTTTTTTTTTTTTTTTTAAGGGAAGTTCTTCTTCTGCTACTGAGTGACACAGACCCACCAACATTGCTAGAGACCTCCAGGTATGTCTGTTATTGAAACAGTGAAGTGGTGAGCGAACGACCAGATGTGATTATTGCACCACATCCCTTAAAATTGCAAATATTCAATAGAGAAGATGGGACTTTCAGGGTGCATTAACATGAATACCAAACATTAAAAAGTTATATAATTTTTTATTTCGGATTTTTGTAAAAAACACAAGAAAGGAAAAAATACAGAAACATAAAAACAATTTTAGTTCTAAGAATACAAGTGAGATTCAAACTTGGTTAGGTAAATGTAGTTACTCCCTACATGTTTCGCCCTCACAGGCTTCTTGAGGGGAGATTTTTTGAGGAAATGTCTACTGCTAAGGCAGTCTAAAGGTATATCAAAGGAAAATCGTTCAATTACCAAACAACTTTAATATATCAAATACAAGGTATTTAATCAAACACACACACACACACACACACACACACACACACACACACACACACACACACCACACCCCCCCCCTCAATGGCTCACCCTGGATGTGAAAGCTCACGGAGCTAGGAGAAAATGACCTAAAAAAGATCTTATCTTTTTTAGGTCATTTTCTCCTAGCTTCGTGAGCTTTCACATTTGATTAAATACCTTGTATTGGATATATTAAAGTTGTTTGGTAATTGAACAATTTTCCTTTATACTGCCTTGGCGGTAGAAATTTCCTCAAAAAATCTTCCCTGAAGAAGTCTGTGAGGGCGAAACATGTAGGGAATAACTACATTTACCTAACCAAGTCTGAATCTCAGTTGGTATTCTTAGAACTGAAATTGTTTTTATCTTTCTGTATTTTTTCCTTTCTTGTGTTTTTTACAAAAATACGAAATAAAAATTATATAACTTTTTAATGTTTGGTATTCATGTTCATGCACCCTGAAAGTCCCATCTTCTCTATTGAATATGTCTGCTATGGTTTTGTTTGTACATTACAATCCCATGGACTTCTTCAGGGCCATCTATGTCCACAAGATAGGAGTAGTCACTTCCAGACCAGGCCTTTTCTGGCACTTTTTGTTTACATGTAGCAATTATTATGTTTTGCTAGAAACCTACTTGGAACCTCCAAACATTATATGTTTTTAAAGCCGACACCCTCGAGAATAAATTGGTGGGTGTTGCAATTTTTTATGTCCCATGGTATTTGCTCAGCGGTTTTTCAAACACAATTGTTTGGGGAAAAAAAAAACATACTTTTTTGAATTTGAATGGAAAAAAAAACACAAATAATCCAATTTTTTGTAAATCTAGAAGATTATTCCTAAATTCAGAGAATATAACTGGATATTAACATTTATAACTAATAATACAAGGGGTTGTTGATCCAAGGAAGATACGATCGCCACCTGGGGGATCAGGAAAGATTTTTGTTCCCCGTTGGAGGAAATTGGACTATGTTTTATTTGGCATTTTTTGCTTCCTCTGGATCAACTCATTTTATAGTGTTTTGTATATGGAGATTTTCGGTTTATATATTGATTTTTATTATTTGTTTTCTTCTTTCTATTGATGGACATGTTGGGACTTGACTGACTCGTGTCTTTTTGTTTTCAATCTATGTGATGCAGATTGCTCTTGTCGTGTCTATCTCGGGTCGAAGTAATGAGCACATGGCTGGAAAGAATCAGGAAGCGCCCCTCCGTCCGTGATAACCTGTGTTTTATCATGAGCAGCTCCACTAATGGTAACCATACTAAGGGTTTGTGTCTTATCCACTTGCCGACCCGCCGCAGTACATTTACAATCGCGTACCTGTACGTCACGTCTTTCTTCCTGCTCCGCTCGCGCATGCAGACCTGGAAGACTGTGCTGTTATTGGCTGCAGCACAAGCCGATCAGGGGGTACAGGCCAATGATTTATAGCCTGCTGATCGGCTCAGCGAATGACCGAAGATGTTCTGTGTTGGTAAACAGCAGCGATGTGCTGGGTTTTTGTTTTCTCCTGGAAAAATGCCCTAAAAGCCAGCACATTGCTTAGTAAAATGTCACACAGTAAACACTAAACATTGTTAGGCATACATTCAACCCTTTGATTACCCCCTCCCAGCCAGTGCCAGTACAGTGACAGTGTATAGTATAGTAGCAGCACTGATCACTGTATTCATGTCACTGGAGATGCCATTGGCAGTTAGTAACACCCCCTGAACCCCCCCCCCCCCCTCCCCCCACGTGTCAGTAAGTGTCAGACTGCCTACCGCACTATCACAGTGCCACTATAAGTCGCTGATCACCGCCATTAGTGGTATAAAATAAATACAAATTCCAGTTTATATTCCATAGATTGTAGACCGTATAATTAACACAACCCAATATACACTTATTGGGATTTTTTTTTTACAAAATACATTTTATAATTTTTTCATTTTTTTTTTTTATTGGCTATGTTTTCTAGCAGAAAGGGGAAAATTTTTTTTTTTTTTTTTTTTTTTTTTTTCAGGATTCTTGGTCTTTTGCCCTCAAGGATCTTTCACTCTAAGGTCCCTAACTCACATTTATACTAGGGCCAAGTTTACAAACTACCAAAGGAAAGCTCTCTTTGTGTGGGAAAAAATTTATCTAAATTTCCTTTGAGTACAGTGTTGCATGACCAAGCAATTGTCAGTTAAAGTAGCATAGTGCCACATCTCCAAGATACGACCGTTCCTAACCCCGGAAACCACTAAGCAACTTATTCACTCCCTTGTCATATCACGCCTCGACTACTTTAACCCCCTCCTCATTGGCCGACCTCATTGTAGACTATCCCCCCTCCAGTCTATCATGAACGCTGCTGCTAGACTCCTCCACCTCACTAACCGTTCTGTATCCGCCACCCCTCTCTGCCAATCCCTCCACTGGTCTCCACTCAGTGTCCTCCACCCCTCTCTGCCAATCCCTCCACTGGCTCCCAGTTGCCCAACGGATAAAATTCAAAACTCTAACAATGACATATAAAGCCATCCACAACACTGCCCCAATTTACATAACCGATCTTATCTCTAAATATCACCCAAACCGTACACTCCGCTCCTCGCAAGACCTCTTACTCTCTAGCTCCCTTATCTCCTCCTCCCATGCTCGTATCCAAGACTTCTCCAGGGCGTCACCCATCTTCTGGAACTCCCTACCCCAATCTATCAGACTACCACTTACTCTACTTGCCTTTCGGCGATTACTGAAAACCTTTCTCTTCAGGGAAGCCTTTCCCGCCCTCTGCTAATTCTGGAATCCTCTACTCTTCCAACCACTCCATCCCCCACAGTGACTACCTACTGTACCATTCACCCCTCCCTCCTAGATTGTAAGCTCCAAGGATCAGGGCCCTCAAATGCCTCTTGTATTGAACTGTATTGTTACTGTATTGTCTCCCACTATAATGTAAATCGCTGAGCAAACCGTTGGCGCTATATAAATCCCGTATAATAACAATATAATAACTCAGATATTATCTTGTAAAAATAACTGTGGCATCATCTCTGTGCTGTGAGCAGAGCAGCGGGAGGGCCCCAGCAGGCTCCACCTACTACAGGCTGCCTGCAGAAAACTACAGGTCAGGGGGCGGAGACAAGACCAGTCACCCTGCACAAGGAGAGAGAGCAGAAGTGCACGGTCTTTATTACAGGAAGAAAGTCTCACACTGGATTACTGCACAGATCTGGAGGAATTACACAAAGCTCACCTACATTCAAGGAGGAATACACATGGTGAATGGGTTTAGACTATCTACAGCAAGGGTGTCAAACTGGCGGCCCTCCAGCTGTTACCAAACGACAAGTCCCATGAGGCATTGCAAGATTGACAGTTACAGGCATGATTCCCAAGGTAAGAGGCATGATGGGACTTGTAGTTTCGCAACAGCTGGAGTTGACCGCCACTTCGACACCCCTGATCTATGGTATGTTTAGCCTTTAAGTGTTAAACGGTCCATTCCCCAAATGAGGTTCTGCTTGTATGTAAATGCGGACGTCCTTTAGTTGGCAAAAGCAGCTCTTTGTATTGCAATAGAGATACAAGTCTAAATCTGAATACACTTTTAAACATATAGGACAACCTTACACAAGTGTTATTAGTTTGAAACACAAGTCTGGGAATGTCTGCTTCCATTAGAGCCTTTTCACACGGGTGTTTTGCCTCTCTTTATAGATGCCCTTTAAAAAGCAACTATGATTTTTAAGTGTGTGAAATCTCCTTGCAGTGGACCTCCTGGTTAAAGTTGGTGAATTGGTGGACAAGCTGTTTGACGTGGATGAAGACATAATGATAGATTGGATAAAAGCCGGCTGCCAGCAGCCAGAAACTCCAGTTACCGATATCGAAGAAGAGAAGCCCTCCCCGCTTGGCCTTGTCCCTTCCCTACTGGAAGCATCGAAACAGCTGAAGTGAGTTCAGAATAGGGTGTGCCGGTAGAGACGGACTTCATATACCCAACCTTTAGGTCATACGCCTCTGATCCTCATGACCACAGCTCTGCTCATACTCCCATGTGTGCTCCCAAGACAGTGACCGTGCTGTCAGACAGGTGGGACGGTCTTCTGGTCACGTGACAACCGCAATAGCCAGTCACAGTGATCAACATTATAAAGTTAAAATCGGTCACAAATCAGAGAAGAACCATCTGCAGGAAGACAGCGCTGAACCCCCATGACTGTTAAACGATAACTCCACCTTTTAGAAAAAAAATAATAAATGCACATTTTTTTGCAGGTATGAAATGTGCATTATTTTTTTTTTTCTTAGAAGCCTATAAGGCATTACACCTGCAAACAGCAGATCACAAGTGCAATCAGAGGTGTATTTACCACAAGGCAAACAAGGCATTTGCCTAGGGCGGCATTTTTTCAGGAGGCAGCGGCATTTTTCAGGAGGGCAGCTCCGCCCCCCAAAAGAAGGGATGAAAGAAAGGACACATGCAGCATGGGGACCAGGTGGGATCTGAGAGAGGCTGCAAGCTGCTTGATGGTGTATGCAGAGTCTGACTCTTGTTCCCGGGGCTGTCCTGAGCTGTGAAGGTGAGTATCTTCCCTCTCGCTGGGGGAGGGGGGGTTGCCATTGTATGGGGGGGGGGGGGCGGTGGTAGTGGATGGCTCTCTCAGGTGGGGGGGGGGGGGTGTTGTTGGTCAATGTCAGGCTTTTATCGTGGTGGAGGGGGGGGTGTTTGTCAGTGTCAAGGTCTCTCCGTGGAGGAAGGGTGATTTTTGCATTGTCTAGGGCAGCACGAAACCTAAATACACCACTGGGTGCAATGTCGGGCTCCTGTAGACTTTCAGTGTAGCTGTGTGCCCGTGCCTCCCATATAAGCAGACAGCTACTGAAGTCCAAGAAGATCAATGAACTACAAGAGCGCTCACCAGCATCCTCATAGTTCATCGAGAGCTACAAGCTGCAATGGCAGACGGTACTTGTAGTCTATTCATTCACAGGAAACTGTGAAAAAATAACACTGCCATCTGGGGGCGGATCCCCGCAAAACTGCACTGTATTTGAATTGTGACAGCAGGTGCGGAGAAAGGATCCTTTGCTTGCTGTCACAATGGGGGACCTGGTCCGGGTGCTGGCAGGTGAATTAGTAATATGTAACATGGAACACCCTGAATATGGGTTTAACCTGTAACATGTTACTAAAGGTGAACTTATCCTGTAATTATCAAATTATTAAAGTTAGCAGTTACAGTATTTGTATGTGTTTCCTCTTGTGGACTTCTTCAGGAGTGGCACTTCTTCAGGAGTTATTTGTACAAATTATAATATAGAGAGGGGAGCAGGACTATAAAGAAATACATAGGGGGGTGAGACTTCCATTGGGTTTTAACCGCAGGACTATAAAGAAATACATAGGGGGGTGTGAGATTTCCATGGGCTTTAACCATCTTGTCCTGTGTTGTTTCCAGGTATGACAGCCCTGAAGGTCTCGATGTATACATGCACATATTACAGCTGGTGACCACAGTGGATGAGGGCATTCAGTCTATAGGTAAGCATAATATATAGTACAAAATGGACCTGAATGTCTATAATAAAATAGGACCTATAGAAAAACAGTTCACCTTTTTGTTAAATGTTTATTTACTTATTAAAAATGTGTTACGCTATCAAATATATAGAAAGCAATAAAGTCCATACGTAAACCAATATTCATTTACACTCACCGGCCACTTTATTAGGTCCACCTTCCTAGTACCGGGTTGGACCCCCTTTTGCCTTCAGAACTGTCTTCAATCTTTGTGGAATAGATTCAACAAGATGTTGGAAACATTCCTCAGTGACATTTTGGTCCATATGGACATGATAGCATCACGTAGTTGCTGCAGATTTGTCGGGTGCACATCCATGAAGTGTTAATGCAAGGCAGGATGGATCCATGCTTTCATGTTGTTTATGCCAAATTCTGACATTACTAGTTCAAAAGTAGTAGTAGTAATAGTAGTAGTTTTCGTCCAAAAGGATGTCATCACTGGGCCAACAGAGATAGTGGTGATGTTCCACATAGAGGACTATACAGGCTCCTCCCTTCATACGCAAGAACGCACTAACACCAGCAAATGCCAAAGTACAATGACGACCGCCATATTCTCGAAGACCACAAGCCAAATGATCAAATATTAGAGCAAAACTTCAGCTGCAATCTCATATAAAAAAAAAAAATTTGTCGATCTAGTGAAACAAAACAGCAGCCTACCGAGTTTAAAGGGTTTGGCCTCTTTCACAGGAACTTTCCTATCGGAACTTTCCTGCCTTCCCATTTTTCAGGTGGACCCGATCGAAACCTCCATTCTCCTCTATGGAGCTGCAGCCGACATCCGATTCGATCTGCAAAAAAGGGAGGGATGGGGATCCAAATCCCCTTCTGTCCATCGGATCAAATTGAAATGGACAGGTGGTCTATTTTCATCCATTTTGCCCATCGAGGAAAGTCAGCAGCTCTGTGTCTGCTCTGCACCAGCGGAACAGACACAGAGCTGTCATCCGCTTGCTCAGCGGAGAGATCCCCGCTGAGTAATCAGATCCGTTAAACTGGTCCGTCCAATGTGAATGGACCCTTATAAAAATGTCTAGAAAATAATTGTATAAAAAAAAAAAGCCTGTATTCCAAGGTAAGTAACAGTGCCATCCAAAGACATCAAAGCTTAACAAACAACATAAAAAGTGTATAAATTTTAACTATAGTTATATTAACAGAATCTGAACATACCAGACCCAAATATAAAACAGACTTTTTCAGCAGCAACAACGTTTCTAATTGCTTGTGATGGCGCTGTTGTGTATGACTCTTAAGGCTCACTCACAATTGCTTTGGTCCCTGAAGAGAGATCCCTGTTCAGATTGCTCTTTAGAGAGCATTTGACAGGCGTTAAGGAGATGTTATATCACCTTCTCACCGCTGCTTTAACCCCTTGAATTCCACATTAGCATGCCACAACCACATGCATTGCACATGGTTTGCCAGGCGCTTGCAGAGCAGCCCTGTGCACTTGAATGTCGGCGCTAGAGGCGGGGGTAAAATTCATACAGTGGTCATGACGCCTCTACAGCTAAAGGGGGAGCAGTTGAGGGTTATAGAAAAAAAAAACAGCTCAACCACAGGGTTTTACCGCCTTGAAACCACCAATGTGACCACACTGTTATAATATGGTTGGTAATAATATGCAATATTAATGGTTGTGATGGTGTGATAGAACCTTTCTTTCTTTCTTTCTTTCTTTCTTTCTCTTTTTTTCTTTCTTTCTCTTTCTCTCTTTCTTTCTCTTTCTTCTCTCTCTCTTTCTTTCTTTCTTTCTCTTTTTTTCTTTCCTTCCTTCTTTCTTTCTTTCTTCTCTTTCCTTCTTTCTTTCTCTTCTTCTTCTTTCTTTCCTTTCTTTCCTTCTTTCTTTCTTCCTTCCTTCTTTCTTTCTTTCTTTCTTTCTTTCTTTCTTTCTTTCTTTTTTTCTTTCTTTCTTTCTTTCTTTCCTTCTTTCTTTCCTTCTTTCTTTCTCTTCTTTCTTTTCTTTCTTTCTTTCTTTCTTTTTCTTTCTTTCTTTCTTTCTTTCTTTCTTCTTTCTCTCTTTCTCTCTTTCTTTCTTTCTTTCTTCTTTCTTTCCTTTTTTTTTCTCTTCTTTCTCTTCCTTCTTCTCTTCCCTCTCTCTTTCCTCTCTCTTTCTTTCCCCCCTTCTCTCTCTTCCCCCCCTTCTTTCTTTCTTTCTCTTCCCCCCCTCTCTCTCTTTCCCCCTCTCTTCCCTTCTCTTCTTTCCCTCCTTCCCCCTTTCCTCCCCTTCCTTCCCCTTCTTTCCCCCCTTCCCCTTTCTTCCCCCCCCTTTCTCCCCCCCTCTCTCCCCCTCTCTCTCCCCCTCCCTCTCTCCCCCTCTTCTCCCCCCTTTCTCCCCCCCTCTCTCTCTCTCTCTCTCTCTCTCTCTCTCTCTCTCTCTCTCTCTCTCTCTTTCTCTTTCTTTCTTTCTTCCCTTCCTTCCCTTAGGGTTCTATTTATTAAAAAAAACTCACTGTGGAAATATCTCCATATTCAGACAACTGTCATGAATAAGCCCATAGTGTGTCTTATATGTTTAATTCCTATGATTGTCTGCTTCATATTGTGGCCAGAATGAGATGTTTACCTGATGGAGATATTTCAGCAAAATACCTATCAAGAACCATGAACCAGGCAGAGAAAAAATTCACACCTTTAATGAAATGGCAAAAATAACAGTTCAGGAACGTAGTCAAAACGCGAGCCAGGGTTTGGATGCCAGAACCGGGTAATCAGATGAGCCTGGGTCAGGAAACCAGAAGTCAGCCTAGTCAGGAGCCAAAAATCAGGAATCGGAAGAGAAGTCAGTCAGACCAAGTTGTATACAGGAACACAATGGAGATCAGACCACACAAGGGCAAGGAGGAAATGAGCTAATCTGCTAAAATAGCCAAAAGGGCTGGTGTGGGCTGGACTAATGAGGCAGGTAAAGGTATCCAGGTGAGTCACTGGAAACCACAAGTGGCTGGCAATTACCCAAACAGCTGAGCAGCTTCTGAGCACTGAAAGGAAAGAGCTACTCGCTAAGTAGCAGGAGCTCAGCCCATACAATTCCCCATTATGGCCACAAGATGAAGCTAACAATCACAGGAAATAAACATAAACACAATAAAGGAATTGTTCATGAAGGCTGAGAGAATGCTGAGCCATTCACACAGTAAATATTTTATAAATATACCCCTGTACTGTTTCACACTGTGGTTATAACATGTAATAATGTTTAATGTTTGTGATGGTGTGATAGAACCTTTCTTCTTTCCTTTCCTTTTCCTTTCCTTTCCCTTTCCTTTTCTTTTCCTTTTTTCCTTCCCTTTCCTTTTTCCTTCCTTCCCTTTCCTTTTCCTTTCCTTTCCTTCTTTTTTTCCTTTTTTTTTCTTTTCTTTTCTTTCCCTTTTCTTTTCCTTTTTCTTTCCTTTTTCTTTTCTTTTTCTTTCCTTTTCTTTTCTTTTCTTTCCCTTTTCTTTCCTTTCCTTCCTTCTTTTCGTTCCCTTTTTCCTTCCTTCTTTTCGTTCCCTTTTTCCTTCCTTCTTTTCGTTCCCCTTTTTCCTTCCTTCTTTTCGTTCCCTTTTTCCTTCCTTCTTTTCGTTCCCCTTTTTCCTTCCTTCTTTTCGTTCCCTTTTTCCTTCCTTCTTTTTCTTTCCCTTTTTCCTTCCTTCTTTTCGTTCCGTTCCCTTTTCATTCCTTCTTTTCGTTTCCTTTTTCCTTCCTTCTTTTCGTTCCCTTTTTTCCTTCCTTCCTTCCTTCTTTTCGTTCCCTTTTTCCTTCCTTCCTTCCTTCTTTTCGTTCCCTTTTTCCTTCCTTCTTTTCGTTCCCTTTTTCCTTCCTTCTTTTCGTTCCCTTTTTCCTTCCTTCTTTTCGTTTCCCTTTTTCCTTCCTTCTTTTCGTTCCCTTTTTTCCTTCCTTCATTCTTTCCTTTCTTTTTTTATGTTTTAATATCTTTTGAATATCTTTCTTTTTTCCAGTACAGTCTCCAGAGGATGGCAAGCGGACTTGGAGATTTTTGTTTCAAGTTGATGTCGTGTCGGGACTTGTGTCAGTCTGGTGACCCCCCACTTGTCATCCAGGAGCAGAAAACCATCTTATCCTACATTTTGGCTGTCATGTCAGTCATGTTCTCCTCACAGATAGACCAGGAATACACCGAGACTAGAAAAAGTAAATCTTTATATGTTGCTATTTGCTTTATCACTAATTTTAATATCAGCTTGGAGTGGGAGTGAATTTGTCTGTGGGAGTTGCAGCTGACCCTATGGCTGGTTTCACACCGGATATACATTCCAAAATGTTTTTAATCTGCATCAAAAATGCATGCAGTGGTTTTACCACGAATACCAATGGGCTTTAGTCCCCACTCCAGTGAAGTCAGTGTAGTCAACAAAAAGTAGAACCTGCTGTTTGTAGCGCCAAAAATGCATGTAAACACAAAAAATGCATGCAAACGTATCAGAATGCACATTGTCAAAATACAAAAATGAGGTAAAAATACACACTGGAAAGTATTAAAAATGCATCCAGAATGCCTAAATTGTTGTGGTGTGAACCAGCCCTGAAAGTGTATCTAAAGCCAAAAACGAAGACTGTAATTTATTGCAGCTGCCACTCCTTAGATGTGGTGTCCATTTCTTTCTTTTGTTTCATTTTTGTTCAGTTTTTTTCCCTTCCATTCACCTGGTAATCCTGAAAATAACACACTTCATGTCCTTTTGTGGCTACGCTTACTCCACTGTACCTATAGAATGAGCCATATGTGTCTCACATCCTGGACTTCAAACATGTCTGCCTTTGTTCATCTCCATTACATAGGGGATGATTGGATTAGTAGGATACAAAATGATGATAGTAATGTTTGTGTTTTGGTTGTAGGAAGTGGACAATGACATTGCATTTCTGGCAGGATCAGCAGGTATTTGCTGTACTTGCTGATGTTTTTTTTGCTCCCGTTAGGTCCGGTAAATAACCCATTGGAAGCATAAGATAAAAAATATCCCCATACTCATGTAAACAGAGACAATAGTGGAGCTCCACCCAAAAGGGGAAGTTCTGCTTTAAGTTACTGGTCCCCTGCTCCCCGTGAGGAATTGGCACCTTTGGGGAGGGGATGGGACGGGGGAGGGTAGTGGGTAGCCCATTTTGACAGGTGTCTACATCCACTTCACTACGATCACTTAGGCGGAATTGGCACCTTTGGGGAGCCTGGAGGAGAGGGGGGAGGGTGGTGGGTACTTCAATTTCGACAGGTATCTGCATCCACTTCCACTGCGATCAGTTAGGCGGAATTGGCACCTTTTGGGGAGCCTGGGGGGGTAGTGGGTACTCCATTTGTCAGGTGTCTACATCCACTGCAATCACTTAGGTGGAATTGGGCACCTTTGGGGGACCGGGGGTAGTGGGTACCCCATTCGATAGGCATCTGTGTCCACTTCCACTTCGATCACTTGGGTGGAATTGGCACCTTTGGGGTAGCCAGGGGTAGTCCGGTACCCCGTTTCGACAGGTATCTGCATCCACTTCCATTGTGATTACTTAGGCAGAATTGGCACCTTTGGGGAAACCGGGGGGTTGTGGGTACCCCATTTTGACAGGTATCGGTATACCAATTCCACTGCGATCGTACTTAGGTGGAATTGGCACCTTTGGGGAGCCGGGGGTAGTGGGTACCCCATTTCGACAGGTATCAATATCCACTTCCACTGCGATCACTTAGGTGGAAAATTGGCACCTTTGGGGAGTCAGGGTTAGTCGGGTACCCCCCTTTTTGACAGGTATCTGCGTCCATTTCCACTGCGAATCACTTAGGTGGAATTGGCACCTTTGGGGAGCTGGGGGGGGGGGGTAGTGGGTACGCCCTATATAGACAGGTATCTGCATCCACTTCCATCTTGCGATCACTTTAGGCGGTCAGAAGTGAAAGTTGTCCTCCCTGTAGTCTTCTGGGACACGTGACAGGGCCCAGACTACGGGTCCATTCACAAGGCGCTGCGTTACTCTTGCATGCACAGTGGGCACCTGGCTGTGAAGCCACAAGCTGTCACTGCAGGTGCTGGGGAGCGAGGACGGCTGCGGCGAGTATACCACTGGATCGTGGGCCAGGTTAGGGTCTGTTTTTTTTAAAAAAACTGTAGCTGCTGACTTTTATTTTTTTTTTCCGTTTGACTGGAGAGAGGAAGATGTTTTTATAGTCAACATCAGGCGGGCAGCCTAGGGTACACAAACATGGCTACCTCATTAGAACAGTACAAGTGAGTAAGCAGTTGTCCCCTTAGGGACAGGAAGTGTGTTATTGGTGTAGGATTAGCAGATATAAAAATAAGAAGAAAATTACTAATGCAGAGGACCACATTCCAATGAATGAACCAAGTTTTTACACAATGCGAAACTAGTAACCCTTTAAGTGTATAGTGTGCGCATCTACTGGTCAGAGTGATTATATATCACACAATATCTATAATATGTACATTTCATAGTACATGCTGTATGCATTTCCCAACAATTGCAAGGTTAGGTTCTTGGTAACAAAGCCACAAAAATATGAAACGTATAATAGATGTAAACCCTACTGGGGGGTTGACGTGGTTTGCTCATGTGCACCGTTTGTATCAGTAAACAGTTGTTATTTTAAAAAAAACAGATTATAATAATGATTAAAGATATTATTATCAAAATATTTTTATAATATAAAAATAATATACTTGTTTTACACCACTTATTTATTCCTATAGGGTGGGAGGAAAGCAAGAAAAAGGTGTAATATTGCATACATTACAGTTCAGTCTTTGAAGTAATCTTGTAGTTTTAATATAATTGGGAAACTGTCCTGATGCTCACTTGCCACGAATAAGCTGTTTGGGCGTTCCTAAAGTCGGCGCATGGCGGTGTTGACACATTAGTCCTGCCCGTGTTCTGCTTCCCCCATGAAAGCTTCTGACTGCCACTGTCATGGTTACAACTTTCATTCCCATCCAGTGAGCGCAAGTGTATATGTGTAGAGGCCAAGGAAATGAGAATTATTTTTTTCTTTCAGATGTCTCCCACTAATATAACCAGTGCCTCACTCGAATTTTGTTAGAAATTGGGGTCTGTTAGGAAGTCAAAAGGGGAAACTCCCCTAACCAAATGACCAAAAGGAAGCGGTGATTGAAGAAGATTTCCATCTGAAAAAATGAAACGTTCTGTTGAATTCC